CCCGCCCCCCGCCCCCACTTGGCAGCCCTAATCTGGACATTTTTACTTGGCATGGAATTATCACAAGTAGCATATTAAAAATACAGTGTATCCAAACAATTATGACAAACAGAATACCCACCCACATGCAAAAACAAAACTGAAAACTTTTGTTTTCTTGTGACAATAGCACCTCCTAAAGGAAGAAATGGATCTTGTTCTTGCATCGGAGAGTTCAGTTTGTAACCTAGGACTTGCTTGTCCTCAGTGCACAGAAATTAGATCAATCTGATACCATACATTTTTTTTTAGAAATGATTTGGAAAATATTTGAACACCTTGTCTTAAAATATTTTATTTATCGTGTTAAAATAAAATGTTCCATAATCAATTTTTTTTCTTTTCTTTTTCAATTTTTCCAATTTTTCGGGAAAAAAACAAAAAAGGCTTCAGGGGAAAAACGGGGGGAAATCGCCCCCCCCAATTTTCCCAGTTTTTCCCCGCGCCTTCACATTTCTACCCCAATCTTACATCTTTACCAGCTTCAGGGAGCCCTGTCAATGCAGATGATTCTATCCAAACGGTGGGCTGTGCACACACACACTGCACAACTGCTAATCTTGGACTCATTAGGCCTTGATGAGCAGCAGAAATGTGATTGTTTACTGGGACCGTGGAGGCTAACCTGCAGGACATGCGCTTAATGATTGCCCCCAGTGGGGGGGGGGCACAGTTCAGTGGTAGAGTACCTGCTTTGCATGCATGAGACCTGTGCTTCAGTCCATGGTATCTTCAGTGGGTGGGCGGAGAGGCTGCATGATATGTTGGAGTTACCAGATGCCTTTTATTTTAAAAAGGCTGCTTAAAAAAAAAAAAAAATCTGATTTACTTCAGAATGTACCCAGTGTTCAACTGCGCATTCTCCTTTTTGAGCATTGCAGAAAAGACTCCAGGATTTCCCAATGACCTCAGAAGCGTTTTTGTTATGGTTTTATGGTCTTGCATATACTACATTCCTGCCAACCTAGCAGTTCAAAAGCAAGAGGTGGCAAGTAGATAAATAGGTACCACTTTGGTGGGAAGGTAACAGCGTTCCGTGCGCCTTGGTGTTTAATCATGCCGGCTACATGACCACGGAAACGTCTTCGGACAGCGCTGGCTCTTCGGCATAGAAATGGAGATGAGCACCGCAACCCTAGAGTCGGATTCGACTGGCTTTCGAGCAAGGGAACCTTTACTTTACCTATATAATACATCCTCTTATTCATGTGTATAATGTTGCATTGTTTCATGAGCAAGAGCAAGACGGGTCGCCCCGTTAGTCTGTCTGTAGCAGCAGAGAACAGCAAGAGTCCAGGAGCACCTTCAAGACTAACAAAATGTGTGGCAGGGGGAGGGGCTATTGTGAGTCAGGGAAGAAGTGAGCAGTGGCTCACGAAAGCTCCTACCCGGACACAAAATTATGCTGGTCTTTGAGATGCTATCGGACTCTTACTCTTTTTTTACTGCTTCATGAACTACCTTAATCATAAATGGGTTTCCCCCTCTTCAGTTAATAAGTACCATTCCAAATCTTTTGGGGCACAATCGCCTCAGAGGCAGTTTGGTGTAGTGGTTAAGTGTGTGGACTCTAATCTGGGAGAACCGGGTTTGATTCCCCCACTCCTTTACTTGCGCCTGCTGGATGACCTTGGGCAAGCCATAGTTCTGGCACAGCTGTTCTTGAAAAAAGAGCAGTTTCTGCCAGAGCTCTCTCAGCCCCGCCTACCTCACAGGGTGTCTGTTGTGGGGAGGGGAAGGGAGAGGAGTTTGTGAGCTGCTCTGAGACTCCCTTGGGTAGTGAAGGGCGGGCTATAAATCCAATCTCTTCTTCTCTTCTCTCTTCTTATGCATGTCTGTACACGAAGCTGCCTTAAGGTCAGTATTGGCTACTCAGACTGGCAGCGGCTCTCCTGGGTCTCAGGTGGAAGTCTTTCGCATCACCTACTGCCTGATTCTTTTTAGCTGAGATGCCGGGGATTGAACCTGGGACCTTCTGCATGCCAAGCAGACTCTCTACCACTGTGCCGTGACCCACCTATCCCTTTCCTGGATGGAATTCTCACATTGTAGCTGCCTTGTAATGAATCAGACCCTTGGTCCATCAAGGTCAGTCTTGGCTACTGGCAGTGGCTCTCCAAGGTCTCAAGCAGAGGCCTGTGACATTCCCAGTAACGGGACTAAAAATCGACCCCCACCTAAGACCTTGTCAGTGGGGCTATACTGGGCTAGGAAGATCAGTGGCCCAACAGGACAATGCAACTTTTTATGTTCACATAGCTCTTGAGTTCCTTATTGTTGTTCAGTCGCACAGTCGAGTCCGACTCTTCGCGACCCCATAGGCCACATCACGCCAAGCCTTCCTGTCTTCCGCCGTCCTCTGAAGTTTGATCAATTTCATGTTCGTTGCATCCATGACACTGTCTAACCATCTCATCCTTTGCCGTCCCCGTCTTCTTTGACCTTCAATCTTTCCCAGCATCAGGGTCTTCTCCAGGGAGTGCTCCCTTCTCATTGGGTGGCCAAAGTATTTGAGCTTCAGTTTCATTATCTGGCCTTCCAGGGAACAGTCAGGGTTGATTTCTTTTAGGATTGACTGATTTGATCTCCTTGCAGTCCAAGGGACTCTCAAGAGTCTTCTCCAGCACCATAGTTCAAAAGAATCTATTCTTCGGCGCTCGGCCTTCCTTATAGACCAACTCTTGCAGGCATACATGACTACTGGGAAGACCATTGCTTTGACCATGCGGACTTTTATTGGCAGAGTAATGTCTCCACTTTTTATCATGCTGTTTAGGTTCGCCATCGCTTTCCTCCCAAGGAGCAGGCGTCGTTTAATTTCATGGCTGCTGTCACAGTCTGCGGTGATCTGGGATCCCAGGAACGTGAAGTCTGTCACTACTTCCACGACTTCCCCTTCTATTTGCCAAGGAGTGATGGGGCCGGCTGCCATGATCTTATAGTTCTTTTATAGTAAATATTGAATTACTTTCCCCCTTCCATCTGATAAAAGGTTCTGTGTTACTAGGAAGCTGCCGTGTTTTCTGTCTGAGCAAGAGCTGGTCCAATAAATAAAGATCACCCTTTGCTATTTTGTCTCTCTCTGTAAGATTAAAAGTGATTGCACCAAGAAACAGCAGGTATAAGAATAAGCCCTGTCCGTGCAAGCGTAAGCCGTGTGTGTGTCTTGACCTGCAGTTCTCCGGAGGGATGTCGCCAGGCACGCGATGGCCGACAGTGAAGGACTCAAGCAGAGGCTGGTGGAGCTGGAGAAAGAACTGGAGGAGGCCCGGGGTGACAAACAAGACATTTACGAAGGTGCGTTTGTGTACACTGGGGTGGCAGACACAATCCGTGGAGGCAGAGCCAAGCATGGCCATTAGGGAATGTGAGGGCAAACCTAGATGTGACAGTGTCCCCGTGGCCGCCACAAGGATGCCGCTACCATTTCAAAATCATTAAAATACTGATTGGGCCCACAGTGCAGTGCTGTCCCGTCCCCCCCGGCACTTTATCAAGTGTCAAAAGAAAATGACTGCACCCACTGTAACTACTTTTGACACCTGTAAAGACACTGGGGTGTGCGTGACAAGAGAGCTGGACAGCACTGCCACAGGAGGTGGCGGCGGCTGCAAGCATGGACGGCTTCAAGAGAGAATTGGATCAACAGCTGGAGCAGAGGTCCATCAGTGGCTATAAGCCACGAGGTATTGATAGTAACTCTCGGGCTGGGGCAAGGGATGCTCTGTATTCTTGGTGCTTGGGGGGGGTGACAGAGGGAGGACTTCTAGTGTCCCAGCCCCACTGCTGGACCTCCTGATGGCACCTGGTATCTTTGGCCATTGTGTGACAGAGTGTTGGACTGGATGAGCCATTGGCCTGATCCAGCATTGGCTTCTGTTATGTTCTTATATGGAGCAGAGGTCCATCAGTGGCTATTAGCCACAAGGTATATAGCGGTGGCTCAAGTGGTTAAGACACTGAACTGCAGGCTATGGAAGGTCGGTAGTTCAGCAGTTCGAGATCCGGGTTGCCGCATGACGGAGTGAGCTCCTGTCTCTAGTTCCAGCTCCTGCCAACCTAGCAGTTCGAAAGCAAGAAATTGCAAGTAGATAAATAGGGACCACTTCGGTGGAAAGGTAACAGCATTCCGTGCGCCTTGGTGTTTAGTCATGCCGGCCACATGACCACGGAAACGTCTTCAGACAGCGCTGGCTCTTCGGCTTTGAAACGGAGATGAGCACCGCAACCCTAGAGTCGGACTCGACTGGCTTTCGAGCAAGGGAACCTTTACCTTTTTTATAGATAGGAACTCTTGGTCTGGAGCAAGTGATGCTCTGTATTCTTGGTGCTTGGGGCGGGGCAAGAGTGGGAGGGCTTCTAGTGTCTTGGCTCCACTGCTGGACCTGGTATTTTTGACCATTGTGACACAGAGTGTTAGACTAGATGGGCCATTGGCCTGATCCAACATGGGCTTCTCTTATGTTCTTATGAATTGGATCAACATATGGATCAGAGGTCCATCAGTGGCTATTAGCCACGAGGTATAGATAGGAATTCTCGATCTGGGGCAAGTGATGCTCTGTATTCTTGGTGTTTGGGTGGGGGTAAGAGTGGGAGGGCTTCTAGTGTCTTGGCTCCACTGCTGGACCTGGTATTTTTGACCATTGTGACACAGAGTGTTAGACTAGATGGGCCATTGGTCTGATCCAACATGGGCTTCTCTTATGAATTGGATCAACATATAGATCAGAGGTCCATCAGTGGCTATTAGCCACTAGGTGTAGATAGGAACTCTCGGTATGGGGCAACGCATGCTCTGTATCCTTGATGCTTGGGGGTGGGGGCAACAGTGGGAGGGCTTCTAATGTCCTGGCCCCACTGCTGGACCTCCTGATGGCACCTGGTATTTCTGGCCACTGTGTGACAGAGTGTTGGACTCGATGGGCCATTGGCCTGATCCAACAATGGATTCTCTTATGTTCTTATGTTCACTGCAGGCCCTCGTTTAGAATAGAATCATAGAATTGGAAGGAACCTCCAGGGTCATCTAGTCCAACCCCTTGCACAAGGCAGGAAATTCACAAATACCTCCCCCCCCTCCACACCTCCAGTGACCCCTGTTCCATGCCCATGCTCAGAAGATGACAAAAAACATCTAGGATCCCCGGCCAAGCCGACCTGGAGAAACATTGCTTCCTGGCCCCAAAGTGGCGACCAGCACTTCCCTGGGCATGTAAGAAAGGGCCACGAGAACTAAGCACTGAGGCAACCCTTCCTGCCCTCCCTCTCATAGTCTGCCTCAGTTCACAGAATCTGCAAATGGCGACCAGCACTTCCCTGGGCGTGTAAGAAAGGGCCACGAGAACTAAGGATTGATGCAACCCTTCCTGCCCTCCCTCTCATGATGAATGACTGTGAAATGGCGACAGCAGGGCCCCCCAACGTGGTGCCCCCCGCCAAGTGTTTTTAGAAAGTGGGTGTGGCCAGGTGGGGCTTTTGCCCAGCAGGACCATTGGTGAGCTGACTCACTCTGCAGACTTTTAAAAAAGTTGCTTCAGCCCCAGCTGCCACCACTACGTTACTGTGGGTATGCAAGGCAATATTTTGAAACATTTTCATCTTAAAGGCATCAAACAGAGAGGTTCTGTCCGAAATGCTGACGAGTTTCACATCCCCTCACTTGTTCACATTTTGTAGTTGGCGCCACCTCCTGTGGCAGCTATTTTTGTGACTGAGCTGCCCACCACCCTGCATCGGAATCCCAAACGTGCCTGCAGGCTTGAGAAGACAAGGGACCCCTGGGGATCACATGAGGAAGGGGCATTTTTGGATTTTCTCCAGGGGGCACCTGAAGGTCTTGGGCCAGCCCTGATCAGAGGTGGCATGACAGAAGGAGTCCTGCGTTTCCTTTCTCTTGCTCTCTTCCTATTGACACTCCGAGCTTGCCTGCAAAGGCAAGAGGCTACATCAGAATATACACAGGATCAGACCTGTGAAGACCAGACACCTGCAAATCTAGTGAATCTCACGTGGGCAGATTGGTTCTTTAACTTAAAGGAAAGTTAAGTTAACCTACTGGTTACCTCCGGTCAGGGGTCATTTCCTGAAGGAGCGCACAGGAGCGGAGCTCCGGCAGTAAAGAGTCCAGGGGGGCGGGCACATGCAACAAGCTCCACCCCCTGCTCCCAGCAGCCCTCAGTCAGAGCAAGAAGCAGCTAGGTAAGTTGCAGAGCTCCCCCGGCCCCCCGGTCTAAAACAGTCCAGTGGCACCTTTAAGACCAAGTTTTATTCAGGTACAAGCTCTCCCTCCTCTGCGAGGACAGATCTGC